TCTAGAAAGAAGTTAGAATCACATAGCAGATTTATACTTTACATGTCTGATCTTTTGGACAGAAAGACTGTTGAAAATATCTTCAAGATTTGTCATTGTTCTGTATAAAAGCTAACTGTGATAATGACAGAGAAGTACAAAAGAATGAATTATAATGTAATGAAATATTAAAAAAATTAAAACCAGAATTCCCATGTCTCCAGTTTCACAACATATGACAGCAGCTAAAGAAAGCATTTTTAATTAAAGCTTAAATTCTATTAAAATCAGCTTATAAAGCCCATTGCTAAAATATATTAAGGAAATAAATGGAAAAGCAGAATATGAAAACATACTAAATTTTACATTTATCTGGATAATGATTCACAATTTAAATCAGAGAGAGACAAATGTGACTCCCCAAGTCATATGCCAACTACAGACTGATTATGGAATCAGTATAATATGGAGAGCAGTGTGCTTGTCTATTTTGGAACTGTTGGTGTAGATGACCAGCAGGAAATAAAAATGGTTGACCTCACAATGAGGAATTCAGTTATGAAACATGCAGAATTCCTATGCGGCATTGTTGAAGCCTCCTCCCTTCTCTGCATTCTGCTTCCCGCTTTCTAGAATTAATAGAACAGCACTTGTCTGTCTTACATGGAGTGCTAAAAGGTAAATACAGTGTCTGTAAGGAAAAAAGGTAGACCACTGCGTTTATTCAGTATGGCGGTTCCCAGTAAGAGAGAAAAAAAACACATGGAAATCTTTAATATCTATCTTCTCAAGTTCAGGAATGTTAAATTCTTATTCATCTTCACTATAACCCACTTTTTTATATATTTATTGCTTTTTATTATAAACAGTACGTGAACAACTTTGTCAATGCTTATACAACACCATAAGAAACAGTTTGCCTGTTTTCAACCTAAGAAACTGTATTCTTTCATAGCAGGTATTTTGGTAATAACTATTTTTATAACATAAGTTATGGTTCTGGGGATTGGGCTGGTTTGTTTTTTTTTTCCTCCCTTTTTTTCTTTCAACTGTTCTATCAGGTGGGGCCTTTCTTATTTAATCCCAAAACAAGGCATACTGATGTAAATTGTTACCATCTGCCTAGCTACATATTGGGGGGTTGGGGGGGGGGGGGGGGAGGGGGGGGGAGGAATCTACATAACCCAAAACCAGAAATGCATGCAGAATGATAAACTCGTAGAGCATGTGAAAACAAAGGCCAGATCCAACAGAAGATGAACGTGTTTGTAAGGAAAAGGGTAAGGCACTAAACTGAAAGTTGTGGTAGCTATAAGTACTCCCTCCCCTGGCCAAAACGTCTACCTTTCCCGTGCTGCAGTGCTGCCATCTATAAAAGAGCTTATTTCTAATTCACCCTCTACACATCATTCTGAGATCTGTGACTTGGCAGCCTTGTAGAAATCTAAGTATTATTTTGTTTTGGTGAAGATAGAATAATATCTAGAAGATGCAAGTATTAGCTGCACCAACTTCAAGTGTTGAAATTCCTCATCTGTATATTCCTATCATAGTGTTATATTTTTACCTCAAAGCACTTTGATTAATTGAGCTTCTTAAAACCACCCAGGACATGATTTTATTATTCCTATTTTGCAGATAGAAAACCTAATGAAATAAGCCTCTACAGTTTTAATAATGCCACAATGAAGAACACAGCTAAGGTCAAATCAGAAGTTTCTGAAAGCCAACTTTCTATCTTTGTATTCTCTGTCTTGATAGTGCTGTAAAAATACAACCACATACAAATTTAATAATTTGTATGAATTTATAGTTAAATATGATACTTCTTGATACCAGACTTGTGCTGCTTGCCTGAAGTAGAGACATATGTTATTACTGACTGTCCAGATCAAAACAAACCTGAGAACACAAGCAAGGTGTTTCATTTAGCTATAGTTTTTACAGTCTAAACCCCCTGTTTCTACCTCAGGCCATCATTGTGATATTTTAAGTAAAATCTTCATCCAAATCTCCTGTTAGCTGTTGCAACAGCATTTTGGAAAGCACCCACACAGTGTCAGCCCTTTCCACAGTGAATGAACGTCCTCATCACCTCCTTGACAACTAAAAATTTACCCCATATGCTGTACATCTAATTCCTTTTCTAAGATTTTACATATGTACAAAAAGACTCTTTGTTATGGGAGGCATATGTCAAGAGGGTGTTTTATGATGGCTGTATTCCAAGGTGCATTTTTTTCTGCTTGAAGGTAGGTGTTTTTCTTTGTGTTGGAATCTTATCTCCAAGGATAGGATATCATACATACACAGTTCAGCTATGCTAAAATACAACAAAGCCAAATAAATGTGAGGAACTCCTATGGAACCACAATACATACTTGCCGAGAGTATACAAAACCATGATGAGGGCCAGTTTCAGCAAAAACTGGAAACTTAACAGTGATGTTAGCCCAACAGAGTTCCCCCTCAAAGAGTATATGGAATTAAAAAAAGCTATTTAAATAAAACCCCAAACAAAAAAAAACTACAATCTTTATACATTCCACTACTAGTTCAATCAGAAAAGTAATTTAAAAATGCATTTAAGCCAAATAATTTCAGATACTGGTTTCTACCCATCACAACACAAAATACACATTTCTCATGCACAAACTCTAATCCAAAAACATTTATGAATGTTTTAGTTTTCTTGATTTCTGGGGTTTGCTTCCTTAAGAGAGAAAACCAACATACCTTCTGAGAAGTCAGAACTCCTGTCATAAGAAAAAGGTATTTCACAACACCTTAATGATGAATTTAACCTGATGTTAGAGAAAAGCTTTTAAACTGTCTAGGTCTCCTGGTGCTTTTAACAGAAATTACTTTGTACCTTCTGTGCCCCTAAACATAATTCCCAGCTTACATTGCTTAAGACTGTATACTGAAAAAGGAACATTCCTTGATTTTCAGGGGCAGATGAATGTACTTGGGCTTAAACCAACCCTTTACTGTCAATTTAATTTTGCTACAGTAAGTAGTTCACAAATACTTTGGACAGAAAACAATTAGGAGCAATCGGCAAAAGATTCCTAAAGTTTTTGTGGAGTCCTTACTCAAGGACCACCCTCATGAGACCCCACCCGCAGTAGTTTGTCCATGTCTGGGGCCCTCAACACAAGAGGGACATGGACCTGTTGGAGTGAGTACAGAGGAGGCCATGAAGATGACCAGAGGGATGAAACATCTCTGCTATGGACACAGGCTGAGAGAACTGCGGCTGTTCAGCCTAGAAAAGCCTTTTGAAAGGCCTTAGAGCAGCCTTCCGGTACCTAAATGAAACCTGGAGATGAACGTTTTACAGGGACATGTAGTGACAGGACAAGGGGGAATGGCTTTAAACTGAAAGAGGGAAGATTTAAATTAGATACTAGGAACAATTTCTTTACTGTGAGGGTGATGAGACACTGCTACAGATGGCCCAGAGAAATCACAGATGCCCCATCCCTGGAAGTGCTCAAGGCCAGGCTGGGCGGGGCTTTGAGCAACCTGATTTAGTGCAAGGTATTCCTGCCTGTGGCAGGGGGGGTTGGAACTAGAAAGTCCCTTCCAACCCAAAGCATTCTATGACTGGTTGTTAGCTGCAATTGCAAATTTGTCAGTGTCATTTTAATCAGTCACTAACAAGGTTATCTTTTGGTTTGTAATCCATTATACAGTGAAATAACAGTGACCTTGGAGTCCTGAATTTGGCTTGAAAGCACTTACACACTTACACAGCACTTACAGAAACACAACTGACTACCCAGACAGTAAGCAGGTCAGGGCCCCCAGCAAGGAAACACACTGCACACATCAGCAGCCCCCTGGAGCTGAGGGGAGTCTGCTCAGGTGAAGACTGTGTGATGCCTGGAAGAGGGCTTGATAAGGTTCTCTTTGTCTCCATAAAATCTGCTCCCGTGAGCGCTTTTACACAGACCAACATCCTGCCTCCTTAAGTGCTGCTGCTACCGCACGGGCGCCCTGCAGAGCACAACCCGACTGGGAGGCCGATTCCCCTGCCAAGAGCTCGGGAAAGCTCCCACCACCAGTTTCCACCTGCGCAGGGGTAGAAGCGGCAACACTGCCGCGCCGGGAGAGCATATAGCCGCCGTCTTTCCTCCTGCATGCCTCTCCCCGCCGACGCCTCGTCTCTCTCCACCAGCATGCCGGACTGGACGAGGCCTCTCCCGCCCTGCCGCCAAACTCGCATCCTCAGGCAGCAGAAAACAAACCGCAGCCGCGTACCACCCACCGCGCCCTGCCCGAGGCGAGGCCCGGCCCGGCCCGGCCCGGCCCTGCTCTGCTCTGCTCTCGCCCCGGATCCCCAAGGGGTGCCCGGCACCGCCCGCGCGGGGCGGAGCGGCGTGTGCGGCCCCGCCCCGCTTCCTTTGTGCTCGGGCAGCTCACGGCCGCCGCATTCGTCGCCGCTTCCAGCGCGGGCAGAGCGCGCCTGCCTGTGCATTCTCTTTTTTTCTTTTTTTTTCCCCCATACCTTCCTTCTTATTCCCCCTCTCCTCACCCCTGCCACCACCGCTGCTGTTCCCCCTGCCCGCCATGTCGCTGGGAGCCGGCCCCGAGGCGGGTTTCTCCAGCGAGGAGCTGCTGACCCTCCGCTTCCCCCTTCACCGCGCTTGCCGCGATGGAGACCTGCCAGCCTTGTGCGCGCTGCTCCAGAGCTCGCCCCGCTCCGACCTGGCGGCGGAGGATTCCTTCTACGGCTGGACGCCCATCCACTGGGCCGCGCACTTCGGCAAGGTAGGGCCCGGCCCGGCCCGGCCGGCGGAGCGAGAACCGGGAGCGCAGGGCCGGGGGGGAAGGTGTTGAAGGGGAAGGAGGGCGCGAGTCCCGCTCGCGCGCAACGCGGCGCCATCTTTGTCCTTTGCGCGCTCTCTGCCGGGAGGCGGCTGCCGCCGTCCCGTCCCCCTCCGCCATGGCTGTTCATTGCTGCTCTGGGGATAGGGTGGGAACAGCGGCGGCGCTTGGCTTCTGTCCCGGCTTACCAGCGGTCAGTGAGGCGGGGGTAGGGCTGGTGGCACCTGCCGCCCCCCAGTCATTCATCCTCTCCGTGTCGCCGGCTGGAGCGGACCCGTTTTTCGCTGCCCTCCCGTCAGCCTGGCCGATAGAGGCGCCTCTGGGTCTCGCAGCCGGGCGTCCGAGCGGCGGCCGCCAAAGGGGAGGAGCAGGGGCTGGGGGCTCCCCTCTAGCCCTGGCCGGGGAGCTCCGGGGGAGGCCGGTAAGCGTCCGGCCGCACTTCCCCACCACCCAGCCCTCCCGCTGCGTGCTTTGTCCGCAGAGCCCAGCCGCTGTCCTTAATGGTCCTCGGGCTCCGCACCTGGAGACTGTTTTGTTGTGGGGCCTGTGTTATGACTACCGGCTCGGGAGAAGATGGGTGTGCTTGTCAAGCGCTGCTCTGTCGCCTTCAGTGTGAAAAATGGTGGTTGATAACGCACGCAGATGCGAGTACGGAATTAACTGCATTAATTGGCATGGTTGCAGTGCAGAAAAGATCAACATGTAAGAAGTAGCTACATTATCTTGAAATTCTTAAGATGAGTGGTATCTTAATTCCCTGATTTTATGTAGGCTCTTCATGTTTCCAATGTGGCGAGTGTTCCAGCCTAGGCAGAATTTCACCATAGAGGGCTGGGGTTTGGTTTTCTTCCTCATCAGTTTGTCGGGCTTTGGATTTCGAGGGGCTTTTGTTATTGTTCTCCTTCCCATTTCTAGTGTATTTGTACTTCTTGTTTGTGTGCCAGAGGAGGAAAATGAATATACTCAGGCAGTCGTTACGGTTTATTAAAGTCCATTAAGACATGGTTTCCATATGTTACATGATCTTATCTGTAATGCTTGTTTGATAAACATTTTGGAGACATGGCTAACTGGCCCTTCAGTCTAAAAAAAAAAAAAAAACAACCAGAAAAAAAATCAAAACACACCACAAAAGAAACAGACAACCCCAAACCCACAAAAGCCAAGACCTAAAACAACCTATTACCTGTTCAGAAAAAAGCTAATACACACTTGGGGGGGAGAGTGCTTTAAATTTTATTGTGAAGTACATTCATAGAAAATATGAAGGTACTGATTTGGTGTTACAGTCTTCTGTTTCGTTTTTCCATCTCGCAAGAATCCAGTAGGAGCTTATAGCAGTTGTGCTTTTGTGTTGGAGGTGTGTGTGGTTTGGTTTGTTTTCTGTTTCTCCTTTAAGCATCTTCAGTTTTCTGTTAACCATCGTAGATTATGTGAGGTTTCTGTATGTGTTCTAGTTTCAGTTCGAGAAACTCTTGAAGAAACAGATAACAAAGGTAACAAGTCAGTCTGCAAGGTAGTGTTTGTTTGCCACGGCCATCCTTGGGTATGGGCAAAATTTGATGCCTGTTTTTCTTGTATATAAGGGGGAAAAATATGGCAAGCAAAATGAGACTTGCAAAGATGGTATAGGCTGTAGGTGGATTTTATAGAACTTTGTATACACGTACTTTATCCTAAAAGCCTTGTGACAAGGTCTGGGCAATTACAGTCTACGGAAGTTATCTGCAGGTTTTATAGTCTTGTTAGGTAGTGCTCATTCATCTGAGCCAGAGACTATACAATTGAATGAGTTCCAGCAGTGTAATTGGACCCCAGAATCGACTGCCTTTTTGTGGCACAGCTGTACTTTTTGCCTTTCACCAGTTTAGGGTTGCCAGCACTGAAACAATAGCTGCGCTTAGTGGACGTTTGCATAAGACATCTTTTGTTCCTTTTCACCTCTTCCCGCCCCCTCCCCCAGTTGAGGTTCATCAAAACTTTAATTGGAGAGTTCTGTTTCCCAGAGTATTAGTTTTAAAACATTGGTTTTGGGAATGTTCCATACCGGCTACTGAACATAGTTTTATAGCTTGCAACTAATAAATAAAATACCAGCAGAGTCAATTAAACGTAATAGATACTACAGCCAGTTATTTCTGGATGTTTATCTGGAGTTTTAATGACAGCGTGGACTTCCTTTTAGACATAAGTAGCAAATCCATATTAACATGTGTTGAGTATCTGTGGCAGTGTTTGCATTTTCAGGACATTCTCTGACTGCAGAGAAGTGCTCATATCTTGAGATGTCAATTAATTCTCATTAGAGTTACCATATTCCAATTAGAGTTAATTATACAGTGCCCTAAATTACCCTGGCATCCTGTAAATTTCTGAGAACATGGGTCAGAATGTAAAATTGTTAGCAATCTAAAAATCTGCCAGAGATATAGGAAATGAAGGGCTTGTATAAAAAGCAAGGTTGCTGTTAATTCACTGTGTCTTGTATTAATTTAACCTCATTGTAACCACTTAGATGCTGTCTGAGAAAATTAAAATACACATTCATTTGCTCGTACTTTTCTCCTGCCTTTATTTTTGCCATTTGACTGTTTACATTGTAGGAAACAAAATAGGAGTAAGTACATTCTGTTTCCTTTGGAACAAAAGTAATACAGATAAAAGCGCTCGTCTCTTCCTTGGTGTTTTGCCAGCATTGCGGCCTGTGTGGAGGCCTGTCTTTCTTCATTAAGAAAGTTTAACCTCTGCTTAAGGTATAACAAAATGCTGGAAAACATCTGCTAAAAGGCTAATGAAAGCAGACTTCTGTGTCATGATCTCAAGCATAATCAATCCTGTGCAGTGTTGGTTTTTTATGTTGACTTTTCCCATCTGCAGCAATTTACCTTGTTCCATAATGTTGGAAGAAGCAGGTTTTTATGACAGCTGTGATACAGAAGACCCATACTTAAGCTTTTAATGGGATGAAACATTATATTCTGTTAAAACCCTGTAAGAGATAATGAAAAAATAAATAAAGCACACAAGAGAAAATAGTTTAAACATGAAGTTGAGTAGATAATCATGATGTGTAAACATGTTACAAAGTGGATTTGAGTATTTTTGTTACAAGATGCCACTGGTGAACCGATTCCAGTGTGTTTCCCCTCTCAATTGATGGGCTGTAATGCCTGTCTGATTATGGAAATTCTTTCAGCCTGGTTTCTGTGCAGGAAATAATAGTAATATTTGCTGAAGTTGTAATGCTTGTCTGAAAGTGTTTTCAGACTAATTCTGTTAGAAGTCCATTGTTTTAAAACTGACTGAAATTTATTTTTGTTTGCAGTTACACTAGAGGAACCTCTTGGTGTAGCTGGGGTTATTTTCCATCACATTGCTTATTAGTAATTACAGTGTTACAATTATGAAGGGTTAGCAGCCATGTTAGGGGTGCTAGCATGTGAACACTGAGGAAAGTCTAAGATTAGCAAACACAAAATTTTGGGTAGTCTATCATTAGAATTACAAATCTGCTTACACAAGTTTTGATGTAAAAAAAAATATTTTTTTTTCAGTATAAGTGCTTGTTTGCTTTTGAGAAGGTACTTTGTCATTGGTAATGCTGAGGTTTATGGAACTAGATTCATCAATACTGCAATATTTCAGTTACCCTCACCCTTACACCTTTACTTAATGTAATTACGGTGTTAGTGGTACATCTGTGTCTAGTCCATTGCAGTCCAGAAGGGTTTATCTGTGTTTGACATATATGGGGGGAGAAAGCAGTTGAAGTTCCCAATATGTTTGCAAAATACAGAATATTTCACTACAGTGGTTGGTAGTTTTGTATATGCAATTCATGAAGATCAGGAATTTACAGGTTTAAAAGAGACTGACATACAGCAGTAGAGAACGTTGGAATCTTGATGTTTATATTTGTCTCTGAACCAAACCGTCAGCTTGCCAGATGATTCTGGTGCCTTTTTTTTTTCTTCCTTCTGTATGAACAGACTGTGGTGTGGCTAACAAACATTTTCATTATCTGTGAGAGGCTGACCCTTAGATTTTTATGTGAACCAGTGCCCCAAGTTGGTGTAAAGGTTTTTTTGTTTTGCTGTCGCGTGTGTGTAGTGGTGTTTGTTATCTAACCACAATAAATGGAAGCCTAGACTAAACTGTTTATTTTAGCATAGTGCATTCCTTTTCCTATCAACAGAAAGACAATGTTACTGTGTGACAGGAAAGGAGCCTTTTTTTGTGTACGTGCCTGTGGTGTCTTGTTTTTTTGTGGTTTTTTTTGAGGTCATCGTGGCTGTGGTTTGCTTAGCTTCTACAGATGTGGTGTTATGAACATCTAAAAATAGAAGCTGTATATCTGACACTTCTGGTTAGTGTGACAAGAAAATGAAAGAATACAGTCTGATAAAATAGTGCAGCTTTTTAAAGTTTTTTCTTTTTCAGATATTGCCACAGACATGCAGCCTATTGGTTTATTTATTTATAACAGCAATTCAGCCATAATAACAGGAAATCGATGGGAAGAATTTAGTCCTTTTATAGTGTTGTCATACTAGTTATTATAATGTTAACAGTTTCAGGTTTTTTTTAGTAATCTGCTTCTGCCACTTTAGGGAAACATTAAAGAAATACAAAATATTTCTTTGTGTTTTTCTGATTTACCTTCCTCTAAACTCTCCTGAGAGTACATCTTTGTCTCTCTTAACAACACTGGTTTTGTCAAACATTATCTAATAATGTCTGTTTAGCACGGTGTCTGCAGCTTTGCTGGATCAAATTTCTTGAGTTTGTTTTTGTGCTTTGGTTGGTTATTTTTTTTTTTTCCTGCCTCCCTTAACAGTAGTGAACCAAATAGCTCTGTAGTCAGATCTGAGGTATTTATGCCCTCTTTCCCCCCATCCTGAAAATTAATGTTGTATTCAGTTTTGATAGTGAAAATTACATGCATCTTTTGTATGGCCTATGGCCAAAGTAGGGAGGAGTAAAAAGGAGGAAGGGGAAAATTCTAATGCTCATATTCTCTTGTTTTGCATTGCTGTAGTCTCAGTAGTCTGCTTATCTTCTCTAGGGTTTACATATTTATTTATCACATGCTAATTGTCATAGCACATCTGTAACATTTTTGGTTTTATTCCTCGTGTCTTTAAAGCTGGAGTGCCTAATGCAGTTAGTAAGAGCTGGAGCTTCTGTAAATGCCAGTACAACACGTTTTGCTCAAACACCAGCCCACATTGCTGCTTTTGGAGGACATCCACAGTGTCTGAATTGGTTGATTCAAGTGGGGGCCAACATAAACAAACAGGTATGGATTCACGTTTACTTCATGTGTGCATAAACTTTTGGAAGGAGTGTCTCAGTCCCTTTTTCCCATATGCATGATCGTTACATTCACATATAGATGTTATTTTTAATATCAGCTGAAGTCAAATGACTTAATTATCATTTACAGACCTTTATAATTTCAGTAGAGATAGGACTAATGAATGTCCTTTAAG